AAGGCCTTAACCCTAAACTTCGTAGTGTACCCCAATACGCCCGACAAAAGCAAAACATAAAGTTCTCTACAACTTTAGCTGAGACACAAGAAGAGAAGATAGACTTTACCTCTGTGGACGTACTATCAACAGGCTGTGCAGTTTGGTTAACATATGCTTCCAACCCAACTTCTCTGACATGCGTACCGTCGCCTCTGGCTGTGGCTACATGCTCAAGCTCTGCTGCATTGTGGGTAGCAAGCAGCTGAGAAAAGCTCAAAAAGGAGAATTCACAATTTTCTACAACGCGTAATGCCTGATATAATTCTTCCAAGGCTCCCCTGCTAATAACCTGGCGAGGTGAATTCGCGGCATTTGCAAGTTTCTTACTGTTGTTCCAACCTTCGTTTTGAGGAGAAAGCAGAGGCGTACGTGGTGATGCAGTTGGCATATTAGCTGAATCAAAATCTGGGGGCGGAAGAGGCGGGTCTTGGTAAACATCACTATATAAGTAGCTGCCACTACCAGCACCCACACCAGGCTGGTCTCCACTTCTTGAAGGACTAATAAAAGCCTCACACATGGGTTCTTCAGTAAATACAAAAGATTCTATGTGAACCATCTTCGCATACTCATTTATAATTCTTACTGTTGGTGAAGCAGGAGGAGTGCTTGACGAAGACAAGGTATTCCCTTCCATTCTACCTAATAACCTTAATACCCATCGTGCAAAATACTCTAGGGAGCCATGGCCATCGGTATCCGAAGAATTGTGCAAACAAACGGCCTCAGCTGCATCTCCACAGTAATTTTGAGACTCCAAATGACATGTATACCAGCAACGCAAAACCGCTCGACCCTTCAATGTCTCTGTCAGATCATCCAATGCCGTTTCGTCTGGAATGGCCAACAAGGCCCAATTAATAAACTTTCTTAAATCACTCAGCGAGAACATTCCGTCCCGGTCACCGTCCAAGACAAACAACAACGACAGATGATGAAGATCTATACCAGAGAGACACTCTGGTAAGAGCAGCGCTATGGAGCGTACATCGCTTAGAGTTAGTAAGAGTTTAGTGTACTCCTTTTGTGAAGTAGAAAAATCGGGGAACTGCCCCTGGTCAGCTCCGCACTCCTTTCCATGGGGAACTCCCTCAGTTTTCAATTCTGCCTTCTCCGTTACGTATCGATGGACAGCATTTTCTACAGCATCAAATACAAATGAGGACGCTTGCCCCATGCAACATGAAATTGGATAATGAGAAATGATATATATATATGTCCTGCCCACCCAACCTCAAAAAAAAAATGATGTGGTGGAGAAAAAGAGGTTCAAAAAAAAGAGAAGGGGAGAAAAAAAGGATAAAGAATTAAATGCTTCGCAGTAGGTAGTCATACCAATGCAGCTACGTATACGCCATTCACATTACCTGTTCGGTCTGTTATCTCCACACACCAAAATAGCAATTAAGAGATCATGAAAAAAGCCGAAAAAACTGCGACAAAAAATTAACGATATATATATATATATAGTACTACTTCTTGGTCACTTTTAGAACAACAATGACGATGATACCAATCAGTATAAGCACAGAAAAACAAATTATAATCTTGTCAGTCATCATACGTCGAACAAATGCCGCAAGCTCCTTCTTCGCCCGATCCACCTCTGAATCTAATTCATCTAAATTCCCATTGACCTGTTGTATTTGCTCGGTCTGGCCACGAAGTTTCGCTGAAGCATCTACACCGACAGTTTCTGTGTCATTCAACAATCGCTCTGTCATGGCTAGGGAACCCAATGTTGAAGTTTGAATGGTATTAACACGCTGCGCTACAGCGCGCGCTGCGTCCTTTCCATCATTCCTTGGTGAGGTTGGGGACCACACAGTATTTTCTCGAGATGCACCAACGAGTGTTTCTTCCACCTTTTTTGACTGCAATTCGCCTTTCAACTGATTAATTCGGAAGAGATGCATTTGCCCCTTCTTTTCGTAGACATCCTGCTCATTACCTTCTAGCAGCCGCACCTCCACCTTAAATTGTTGGTGTGTTTTGTGAAGACGCTTCATGAAATCCTGAGCCTTATTATACTTTTCTAGCCTTTGGTTACGGTTGGTGGTTGAATCCAGTGCTCGAAGAAGCGAGCTTATTTGATCCTCAAGCCCTTTCAACTCCTCATCATACATGACGACATCAGACATGGTGAGCGAAAACAAGGCTATGTATATATACTCCCTACGAGAAAGAGCAAACACGCCCAATGAGAGGGAAATAAAGAAATAAAAGGGAATAATGAATAAAGACAAGCGTCCCAGCAGAGCGAAGGCGGCACCAAACTGAAGGAAACTCGCCGAAAAGTAACAAAAAAAAGAGGGCGAGGGCGGGGGGAGGGGAGAAACAACGTCCAAAGCCCCGGGAGTGGAAATAAACAGCTTGCGCCTTTTTTTTTATGCAACAAAGAGGGGTTTGAACGGGAAAAAGGGCCCCCGCCCCTTGCGCGGGGCGTTCCGCGAAAGCCCGAGCGCCCTCCTTTTTCCCCTTCCGCGCCCCGCCTCGCCGTCCCGCCGCCTTGTTTCCTCCGTTTTTTTTTTAGCCCCCGCAGCGGCGGCCGTTCCTGTTCGGTCGTCTGTCTCCGACCCGCCCTTTTTTTTTACACTTGGTGGGCGGCGGGGTCCGAAGGTTTATCGGATTGGCGGTGCGCTGCGCGCGGCATTCGCCGGAATGCGTGTGTGACGGGGGTTACTCGCTTTTGCCCGCTTTTTTTGTTCTAACTGTTGTTTTTACTGATTTGCTCTGGTGGAAGAAGAAGTTGTCCCTCGCTGATTTGGTTTTTCCTTCTTGGACAAGGCGACAGCGGTGGCTGGTGGAATATAAGGGCAATCTTTCTTGTACGAGGATCCCTTGAGTTTGTTGACTTGCACGAACGGAATTGTTTTGCGTAAATAAAGTCTACGACAAGTTGGAAAACTCGGGTACGCACAAAAGCGATACAGTAATGTTTACTACAGAGATCCACTCTTTTACTAGCCCAAGGAAGAAAATTGGGAGGTCTTTTTGGGGAGTGATATTTACAACAATAGCAGTGATAAGTGTTCTTGTCAGAGAGAGTTTTTTTTTCTCTCTCTATTCAAAGTAAAAAAAAAAAAGGGTGATTGCTGTGAAGCCTTGTTGATTTCA